TCCATATGAGTACCTGCATTGGTTCCTCAGCCCTTTGCTCATGTGGTTTCTTTCTTTTGATTGAAAAGTTGGGAACAGCAGAGACATCCCTGCCCACATCACAGAGAGGCAGATGGCAAGCAGCCCACCCATGCCAGGCTTCCAGGAGGAGCAGGTCTGATACCTTTGTCTCTCACTGGGATAATGGTGATAATGACACTAGTGGTGACGGGAAGGTCCAGCTTTTCTCGTTTGGGATCCTTATTGAGGGGCAGGCTTCCTCTAGTCTCATAAAAATATTAAAAAGTAAGAGCCTTGCATAATTTCTCATAACAAAGAACAATATTTTGCAGAACATTTTATACTTTACATTTCCTTCTTTTACTGTAATTTTTAATAAACTATCTCTGGGAATGAAATGACCGAGGCCACATGTTACCATCCTCTAGAAACACTAGTGATCGTTTATCAAGCCCATGTCTTTCTAGATGAAGAAGGGATTGTCACCGAGCAAATAGCTGCAGCAAATCTCCTCCCAGGGCATCCCCTGGCACAGGCCTCAGTAAAGGTTTATTGCTTTTCCCCATAAAGGTCTTGTGTAGTTTTGTTATTTGAATGAGATCTTTTTTCTATTTTCTTTTCCATTTGGTTATTGCTAATGAATAGCTTTTGGATATTATGTATCTAGCCAGCTTGCAGAACCCTTCTATTCTAGTCATGAAGACAGTATCTTATTTATTTTTGCTGCCTTTTTGCATTGGGCTGAGACCACTGATATAATGTTGAAGGAAATCAAATGTGGTAACGCTCATATTTGTTCATCAATAAGTTGATGCTTACAGTCGGTTTCAGATAGATGTACTTTGTCAAGGTCAGAATTTCCTTCTAGTCCTAGTTAAGAACTTTGATGAGTGATTTTTTCAATCTTCAGACCACTCTAACCCCACTTGACTGCCAGCTCTTCACCCACACGTCTCTTGTTCGTGTCACCCATCAATCACCTTCATGCTGCCTGGTCTAGTGGACACTTTTCTGTCATCATCTTATTTGACCTCTCCAAACCATATGACCTAGTTGACCACTCCTTCCCCTTGAACCGACTTCTCTCAGTGTCTCTCTGGTTTTTCCCCTGCCACTTTGGTCACTCGTTTTGGTCTGCTTTGGCATCTGCTCCTCCTCTTGTGAGTTTCTCAGGATTGGTCTTTGGGTTTGTGGTGGCTTCTTCCCTCCTCCCACGACTCTAAATACTGTCACGTTTACATCCCAGCACTGGTGTCCAGCTCCAGACTCCTCCAGTTTACTGCCCTCTTGACCTTGCTCACAGGTGCTGTTTCCTCTGCCTTCCCAGGCCAGGGTCCTGCCCCTCCTTCAAGTCTCAGATGCTTCCTCCTCAGTCAGGCTCTCTGTGCTACGTTCTTCCCCCATGACTCTCCATTGTAGACAGAGAGTTATGGAACTCTCGGAGTTTGTGTGCACTTAGTAGTCTATTTATTGTCTAGCTCCCTCATCCATGAAGGCAGAGACTTCATGTGACTAGCACAGTACCTGAAACATGGTAGATCCACAGTAATATTATTGAGGGAATGGGTAGATGGGTTTATAAGGTGATGGATGGGTGGATAGATGATGTTTTAAGAAATTGTAGCGTAAAGAAAATTGCTTAGAATCATACAAAAATAGAGCAAGTAGCTACTCTCACACAATCTAATTTACCCTCTTCTGTCTCCACATATTATCATGGAGGTATGTGTTCATGTGTCTGCCCATGCACACATGTATGCCTGTGTGTTTTCAAGCGAAAAAGGGTGAAAAACTGTGGGAGAGTTTAAAGGTGTTTGCTGCCTGGTACCAACAGTCAGTAGAAAGCAAAGGGGTAAGTATGGGCAATTTGCTTTTAAGCTAACTATCTACATGCTGTAGGGAGTTGGGGGAGAAAGCCGAATGCATCAAAAGTTTCCCCTAGGATGACTAGAGAATTTACCATCCAAACCAGGTGACTCTTTAATGAAAGGGGACACTATCAATAATTACCCTGGGGCAACAAGTGTAAACTGGGACTATCCTTGGCAAACTGAGACACAGAGGCACCCTCTTTCAATTAACCAAAGTACATTGCAGTGGTTCCACCTCAAGTTCGAGGCAGCTGCGCAAATACATTGAGTATGGATCGCTGGGTATGAAGATTACAAAGTAGTTGGTCGGGGTGGACCTTATTGAGTGCTTGACATTTGAGTAAACACTTGAAGGAGGTGAGAGGTGGCTATGTCTGGGAAAAGCAGAGGAAACAGCCAGTGCAGGGGCTGAGGCAGGAGTGTGCATGGTGTGCCCAGGGAAGAACAAGGATCATCGTGGCTGGAGCAGAGTGAGCTGGGGGGAGCGGTTGGAGGTGAGTCAGAAGCACCAAGTGCATGTCATGCAGAGCCTTGCGGGCCATTGGAGGAACTTGGGCTTTTATTCTGAGTATAACGTGGAGCCATTGCAGGCTTCTGAGTAGAGGAGAGACATCATCTGACTTGCATTTGAAGGATATTCTATTGAAATAAACTTCAGAGGGACCAAGCTGGAAGCAGGGAGGCCAGTTAGGATGCTACTGCAGTAATCCAGGCCAAGGAATAATGGTGTCTCAGATCTGGGAGTCCGCAATGGGGGTGCGAAGAAGTTGTCAGATTCTGGATATATTTTGAAATAGCCCGGAGATTTTCTGATGGGTTGATTGGCTGTGAGTTGGCAGAGAGAGGAGTCAGGGATGACTCCTGGGCTCTTTCTCTTTACCACTGCGATAGAGAAAGCTGCAGGTAGAGCAGGCTTTGGGGGCAGATCAGTAGTCCAGTTCAGACATCCAAGCAGTAGGGTCGGGTGTGGTGGCTCACACCTGTAATACCAGTACTTCGGGAGGCTGATGGGGGAGCATCGTTTGAGGCCAGAAGTTGGAGACCAGACATCCAAGCAGAGAGGCTGAGCAGACACGTAGGTGAAGGAGTCTGGAGTTTGAGAGAGAGTTTGGGATGGAGATACAGATCTGAGAGTCAATGGCTATAGATGGGACCTGATCAAGAATGAGTGGCCTCCATACTAGATGGATATAAACAAGGAATGAAGATCGAGGTTTCCTTATGTTAACACCTCTAGGTTTTCATGTTTATGACTTAAGAAAAATTCATATGATAACAAGAGTAATTTCTAAAACTAAGTATATCTATTTTGCCCTTTAGCAGAATGACCCCATCTTTTGCTCACTTTACACAATAAGTGCCATTTCTTTCACCTTCATGGGGGTGTAAGGTTTGTAACTTACTTAATAAATCAAATAACTTAAAATGTAGGATGGAAGCATACATTTTAAAGGAATGCCTTTGCAAATGAGAAATAGTTTTCATAAAGTGAACAATAACTCTTCTTTCCTATTCTCTCCATTTTATTTTATTTTTTTTAATGTGAGTCCTGGATTTTCGTAAACCTGGTGACATGCGCTGAGTGTACTTGGACCAGCAGTGAGCCCGGGGACACCTCTTCCCCTAGGTGGCGCCCCAGGCTTATGCTGACTGGCCACTTTCTCCACAGCATCTCAGCCAAACTGGCCTACCTCCTGGTCCTTCTCACTTCCTAGAAACTGAGGAAGAGAGAGGTGGGGCCAGCAGTAAAGAAACCTAAGGTAGCAAGGTCCCTTCTCCTGGCCTGTGCCCCAATGCCCTCTGGCCAAAGACACGGCCCTTTGTTTCTCCTCAGTGAAAATGCCGGAGACGCAAAGCCCCTGGAGCTAGGGAGTCCCGTGTGGTCCAGCCTCTGAGCTAGTGACAGACATGGCCCTCCCTGAGGCGCTGAGCAAGCTAGGATAGCCACCACCCCTGCCCCCCACCGGCTGAGGGCACAGGGAGACAGGCTGGGGACACGGTCTGGAGCAGCAGAGAAGGTGGGTGACAATGATGGCTCTCCCCACGCCTCTGCCATCATATGCTCCTGGAGCCCAGGACCTCCATGGCTCCTCTTGCTC